ATGTATTATCTTTTAATGTGCTGTTGAATTTGCTAATATTTTGTTTAGAATTTTTGCACTTATATTCACTAGGATATTGGCCTGTAGTTTTCTTACAGTGTCTTAGTCTTGTTTTGGTATGAGGGTAATGCTGGCCTCATAAAATGAATTTAGAGCATTTCCTTCTCTTTATTTTTGAGAAGAGTTTGAAAAGGATTGGTATTAGTTATTTAAATGTTAAATTTACCAGTGAAACCATCTGGTCCTGGTAAATTCTTTTTTGGGAGGTTTTTGATTACTCTTCTGTTTTTTTTCTGTTCAAATTTTTCATTTCTTTATGATTCAGTCTTGTTTAATTATGTTTCTAGGTATTTATCCATTTCTTTTATACTGTTCAATTTGTTTACACATAATTACCCATAATAGTCTCTTATGATCTTTTTTATTTGTATGGTATGAGTTGTAATATCTTATTTTTCATTTATAATTTAATATATTTGGAACACCTTTTCCCCCCCTTGTTTGGTCTAGCTAAACATTTGTCAATTTAGTTATCATTTCATGAAATCAAATCTTAGTTTTGTTCATCTTTTTATTGTTTTCCTATTTTCTGTGTCATTTGTTTTTGCTATAATCTATTATTTCTTTTCTTCTGCTAACTTTTATCTTAGTTCATTTGAGATTTTTCTTTGAGATTTTCTTTAATATATGTGTTTATCACTCTACACTTTCACCTTACTCACACACTCACTTCTCCCCCCTGTTACATACACACACACACACACACACACACAGAGCAAAAGAGAAAGGTGGAGTATCCCTTATCCCTATTATTAGTATCTTTTATTATATAAAAGAAAAACATGTCTACATATTCTTATACAGTTTATAGAAATTGGTAAATGCTTAAAATAAATATACATAGAATCATCAAGGATTACAGATGTTGCAGTCATAGGTATAAGGCATAATTTAGGGATATAGTTTCTTTGAAAGAGAGAAGTTTAAGATAATACAGCAAGAGAAGCAAAACATCTAAAAGAAATCATTATCTTACCTAAGAAATGTGGCTCTTAAAATAAGAAATCAACATCTACAATTGTTTTTAAAGCTTCTTCATACTATCAGTCAAGATCAGTCTCCCTTTATAAAAAAAAGAAAAGCCTTAAGGAAAGCATCATCAAATACATTTGATATATGAGATGTTAAATCATTTGGTTGGGATTATAAAATTGCTATGAATATGTATTTTGTGCCAGTCAAATAAAAGTCACAAAACTTTGGTACTGCAAAATTTGCTCCTTTCTGATATAACATATACTGACATGGGATGCAAAAAAAGATTGCTTTTCTTTTTATGGACAATTCCCTTGATTCTCTTGCTTCGTTTTACTGTCATATGAAACTATTTCATGATTGTTTTAATTTCACTGTTTGCTTACCAAAATTATGCTCTCACAAGCTTATTGAAGTTCAAAGTCAGTTCAAGTTTAGTTTTCTAATATGTGCCAGTTAATTAGTTCACTGTCAACAATAAGATAGAAGTTTATTTCCAGATGCATGTCTGTATATCCCCGCCCCTGGTACCCCACTCACTTTCAAAAGAAATAGTGCAAATGCTGATTTTTTTTGCTGTTTTCAATTTTTATATATAAACTGGGCAGTCAAGTACAGGGTAAATTGACACTGCAATTTTCTCTATATATTTTGTTAGCAATTTACAAACACCTACTGTTTACTCCAATAAATGTAATATTAATTTTCTTAGAGAAATATGAACTATATATTTTGTAGGATAAGGGCCAATTTAATACAAGTGATGGATATTTCAAATTTGAAAAATTCTCAGAAAAGGAGTTTAGTCTCACCTCTATATGGAGGAAACTTTTTTTTTTTAATTTTTTTTAACGTTTTATTTACTTTTGAGACAGAGACAGAGACAGAGCATAAACGGGGGAGGGGCAGAGAGAGAGAGGGAGACACAGAATCGGGGGGAAGCAGGCTCCAGGCTCTGAGCCATCAGCCCAGAGCCCGACGCGGGGCTCGAACTCACGGACCGCGAGATCGTGACCTGAGCCGAAGTCGGACGCTTAACCGACTGAGCCACCCAGGCGCCCCTGGAGGAAACTTTTGATACGTGTGTTAGGGAGAGTATGCTGTGGTAATTAACCCCCACAGGTACATACACACACACACACATTTCAGAGGCCTAAACCAACAGAAGATAATTTTACTCATCACATGCCAGCTGTAGCTCTGTTCCTCATTCACCTTTACCTCAGGAATAATACTTTGAATATATAATCCATTTAGGGCAACTAACCATTCCAGTTTGCATAGGACTGAGTGCCTTCACTAGACACAGGAATTCCAGTGCTAAAAAAGTAAAGTCCCAGGTAAACAGTTGAATTGGTCACCCTAAATCCACTCTTAACACAACACATTAAGCCATTTTATATGAAATAGTCATGTTTCTATTTCATAGATGAAGTTGGAAACGTATAATTGTTGAAATCTATTTCCAGACTGCCAAAGGTTTTTCTAACACATATTTGTTACTTTATACATGAATTCAATGAGAAGGAGTATTAAAACTAAGAATTATTGGGGCAGCAGGGTGGCTCAGTTTGTTGAGCACCTGACTTCAGCTTAGGTCATGATCTCACAGTTTGTGGGTTCAAGCCTCGTGTCTAGCTCTGCACTGATAGCTTGGAGCCTGGAGTCTGCTTCAGGTTCTGTGTCTCCCTCTCTCCCTGCCCCTCTTCTGCTCACCCTTTGTCTCTCCCTCTCATACATAAACATTAAAAATATATATTTAAAAAAACCCAAGGATTATTTTTTTTTTATTTTTAAATTTTTTTTTCAATGTTTTTATTTATTTTTTGGACAGAGAGAGACAGAGCATGAACGGGGGAGGGGCAGAGAGAGAGGGAGACACAGAATCGGAAACAGGCTCCAGGCTCTGAGCCATCAGCCCAGAGCCTGACGCGGGGCTCGAACTCACGGACCGCGAGATCGTGACCTGGCTGAAGTCGGACACTTAACCGACTGCGCCACCCAGGCGCCCCTCAAGGATTATTTTTAAAGCATTAATTCCTCGTGTTAATTTGGGGAGATTAAAAAATAAAATAAGTGAGCATTTCCATGTGAACGTTTTTTAATGCTCATGAGACCAAATAAAATTGATGAGAAAAAATTAATATCACCATGTCATCTGAGCTTATTGTAGAATTTTAGATAACGTCAGAAAGAACCATTCATTCTAGTGGAAATTAACTTCAATGTAAAAGAGAGGTTATTTTAGAGTAACTGAGTTTTACAAAAACACTGATTTGGTCATACAAATTTTCTGAATCATTAAATTATATATCTATTTAAATTTATGAGAATTAAGAAAATAGTATTTTAATAGGCAGTGAGTATTATATTAGTAGCCATGTCCATGCGAATTCAGAATGACTACTTTTCCTTAATTAATGTTTCCATGTTATTATTTCTCATTTTTAGTGTTGATTTCAGTTAGTGACATGGCCATTTATTAATCATTATAGAGACTTATACTTTAAGATTCACACTTTGTCTAGCTACTAGGAAATTGTATTGTAAATCCAGGTAAAATGTCATCATGACTTGAAACCATGAATACAAAGAGAATATAGTGTAGTAATTGCATAAAGGAAATTACAGATGTTTATGATTCTTTGTGCTCCATGACTCAGCTGTTCTTCCCTTTGCCAATTTATGGGGATTTGCTCATTGAAAGTCTGGAGAAGTAGCAATTAAACTAGGGTATGCTCTAAACAGAATATATAATAGTCTGCCTCCAGGACTTATATTTGTCTTATTGATATATCTCATTGTAAAACCTCAGTAAAGTAGCATGTATTAAAACTTAATGATGACTTGAGTGTGACTTGAAATTGTTTAAATTTTATTAATTTCATTGTGGATGTAACCAGATATGAATTGTCTTTGAGGATACTAGGGATTACCATAGACAAATCATATTGGAAAATGTGCTTTATTTATATTAAAATATTTTCAAATTATATTAAAAAATTAAAAAACCCAACAAATTCAAACAGTACTTTGGCAATTCATTGTGTTAATCCTGTTGGTTAATGTGTGCTTTAAATAGTGTGTCTCTTAATACCATAGTTACTTTTTAAAGTGTTAAAGTGTAACATACATATATACATATGCATATGCCACAGAAATTGTCCTCTCTTCAGAGAAAAGGCCCAGTTAACTTAGGTCTGTGTGGTAGCTGAACAAGTAGATCTCAGAAAATAGATAATCACTATGCTCTTTCTGCCAGCTGGTTTCCTTCTGGACAAGGTGTAAGTGCTAAGTGGGGCATCTCTTGGACTGTGACGTGCCTTCGGTTAGGGGACCAGTCCTGGGATTCTCCAGAGGCACTGACCGGCCTGATGCCCCAGACCCTGCGGCTCTGTCAGAGATAGTCGTTGGAAGGGCAGCTCTAGGGTGGGGCAGGCACTGGGTCATGTACGAAGCTCTGGGGTCAGGGCAGAGTAGTTGGCACAACTGTTTTGAATCCATCTGACCCCTGGCATTTGGTCAGAGTCCCTAATGGTGCCCTTCTGGTCAGGGACTCCTCCTGGCCACAGTGGGATCCCCGGATGGTCATGGTGTCTGCCCCACTCTGGACGTGTGCTCAACAGTACGAAATCTCAGGCTAACACACAGCTAGGAGACATATATGTGATGTATATACACACACACACATTCCAGGAAACGGAGGGTAAGGGACTGTTGTAGATTGAGGAATGAGTCAATCCAGCCAAAAGAATATAACATAGGTATTTTGAACATGAACATGAGGAAGATGGTACAGAAAGAGAATTTAAAAGAATAGAAGAAATAAGCAAAAAGTTGTATAAAAGGTATGTCTTATAAACTTTAATTGGTACTTTTGGAAATTAGCTGTATATTTTATAAGCAAAATACTTATAAAACATTTCAATAGGGTGTATATCATTTTGCATTACTTCCTTTTCTAGTATGTATGTACTTCAGAGTGCACAAGATACTCATGTTGGTTTGTGAAGAATGTTTGCTTAATTCATCTATACCCCTGCTACTGTGGAAGTATCAGCCATGATATTTGCCAAGACAAAGTCCTTCATCCTCCTCAGTCTAAATATGTGTGGCAAGTGAGATTTAAAGGTAATCCAATATTTTTTTTAATTTGCTTGAATCACTGCAAAATTTATTAGGTAAGTATTCATTTTTCAATTATATAAAATATTTTATATCTCAAAACACAAAATAATATAAAAATGCATTTAGTAATTGAGCTCTCTGATTTGTTCCTATAATAGACATATGCCTAATACCAACTACATTCCAGGAATTCTGCTTGGTGCACAGATACACAGTCATGAAGGAAACTAGAGCTATTCCTTACTCTTGTAGATCTATTTTTTGGAGGGGAATTATTGGGTACATACAATGATAAGTATGTTATTATAAACTGAAATAAAATGTTCCTATAGAAAGAAATAGCCTCTCATGAAAGCCTATAACCGAAGGAAAAAAAAAGAAAAATACATGGGCAATTGGAAGAGTAACTTTGGAGGTAGATAAGGTTTCCATGATTAAATGCCTCTTGAACAGAGTTACAGAGAATGAGCCCAGGGTAGAGAAGTTGGAGAAGAGTGCATTTTAGATTGAGGGAATTATATTTTTAAAACACTAAGTTTCGGGGCGCCTGGGTGGCGCAGTCGGTTAAGCGTCCGACTTCAGCCAGGTCACGATCTCGCGGTCCGTGAGTTCGAGCCCCGCGTCAGGCTCTGGGCTGATGGCTGGGAGCCTGGAGCCTGTTTCCGATTCTGTGTCTCCCTCTCTCTCTGCCCCTCCCCCGTTCATGCTCTGTCTCTCTCTGTCCCAAAAATAAATAAAAAACGTTGAAAAAAAAATTTAAAACACTAAGTTTCAAAGGATATAAAGTTTCAGTTATGCAAGATAAAGCAGTTTTGGAAATTTACTGTACAACATAGGGCCTATGATTAACAATACTATGTTATGTATTTAAAATTTTGCTAGGAGGGTAGATCTTACATTAAATTATCCTATTACAAAAGGAAAAAAAGAAACAAAATAAGCAACAAAAAATTGGGGTGGGCAGAAAGTTCTAGAGGTGATGGATAAGTTTATGACAATTGATTTTGATTATAGTTTCACAGATCTATATGTAACTACAAAGACATGCAGTTGTATACATTAAATATCTGCAACATTTTATATGTCAAACATACCCCCCCAAAAGTGGGTTAAATAACAAAAAACAAAACAAAGCAAAACAAACAAAAATACAACAACAACAACAACAAAAACCTCTGCTAAGTTAGAAGAGATGAATCCTTTGAAGACCTGGCTGGAACTCTGAGAACAAGAGTAGAGATAAGACTTGGGGAGAGCGCAATGCCAGAACTAAAATGTTGGGTTAAATATTTGTATTTTTATTCTAAAAGGCATAAGAAATCAGTGTAGAGTGGCGCCTGGGTGGCTCAGTGGGTTGAGAGTCTGACTTCTACTCAGGTCATGATCTCACGGTCTGTGAGTTGGAGTCCCGCGTCGAGCTTTGTGCTGACAGCTCAGAGCATGGAGCCTGCTTGGATTCTGTGTCTCCTTCTCTCTTTGCCCCTCCTCTGCTCACACTTTTGTCTCTCTATCTTTCCAAAATGATTAAAGGTTAAAAAATAAAAAAAAAAATCACTGTAGAGTTTGACACATTTAAAAAAATGATCAAGTGTAGAAATAGATTCAAGACAAGGAAATTGATAGTTGTAGAGCAGTCATATTGTGAGGGGATTGAAGATTGAAATACATGGAAGTTCTTGTTTATGGATTGAATACAGAGAGCAAGTGACAGAGGTATCAACAGGAATGTGAGATTTCTGGCTTTCACACTTGAAATGAAATAATTCCAACACATATTTTATCAAATATGTTTCTAATTATTTTATACAATGGCAGTTCTTGTTTCAAAATTGTTTTGATAAACATAATTTTCTGTTCTATGATTATACTTTGTATATTATTTGACTTAATTCATGCAAATTGATCCACATTCTTAAAACTGTATGACACTTCAGTTAAATCTTTTAAAGACTCCTCTGTCAATGATATTTTGGCATGATAGTTTGCCAACAATCAGAAAATCAGTAGATTTGATATATCTGTTCTCAACTAATGGCTTATTTTATTCAACTGACAGCAGCTGCACTTACAACACTACTATTACATTAAAACAGTGTTGAAGTAAACTAACAATTAGCTTTTTAGACAGTAGACATGATAATTTATTTCATGATGCTCATAAAATGATATTCTGGAGAGTTAACAACCCCTAATGACAAAAATAGTTATCGGTTCATTAAGCAAATCACACGTAAGACCAAAAGTGGTAGAAGAGAGCAATGACTTGTTGATTATTTTATGTTAGTGCTAAAAGGAACTTCAGAGGTTGTGTTATGAATACTTACTATTTTAAAAATGACACAAAACAAACAAGAGCAAACAAACACAAAACAAACAACCACTTAGGTTAGAGAAGTTACTTGATGGAGCTGGTCTCAGGACTATTTAGGCAGTATGTTAGCTCAGTGGTTTTAAACCTTGAGCACATAATATAATCAATCACCTAAGGAACTTTCAAAATCTACTACTGCTGGACTTCCATTACAGAACAATCAAAGTGGAATTGTGGTGAAGTGGACATAGGAGATCTTTAAAGCCTCCCCAAGTGTTCTAATGTATGAGAAACATAATCTGCTGTTAAAGCCAAATCAGTTCATGGACTTCAGTGCCTGCATCACTTTTATACTCTATTTTTCTTTGTCTCAAAGTAGGAATAATGCATGTGTACACTTAATTTATTTTAAACATTAAAATTCTTTGGAACTAAAAATGGCTACAGGGAACATATTCACAAAAATAAAATAGCAAATATATTTTTTAGGAAAAATAGGAGGAGTAATAGGAAATCAAATGGTTTGTGGATAAATCATCTCTGAGTAAACATACCTATATGAATGACAAAGTAAAGTAAGTTTACTTTAAAATAAAACAAATACACTTTTAAGACATGGGGGTAATATGAAGTCAAAATTGTTCATGCATAAATCAACTTTGAGCAATTATCATCAAGGTAATATAAGTGTATTTAGTCATTATCCTTTCATGTAAATGTGTTCAGAACTTAATGAACATAGCTAATTATTACAAAAAAGATGAAGTATGTGTCTTCCACATCTGAGAATCTAAATTACTTGGGCTGTCCAAGCTAAAGAAGCCAGTGTGATGAAACTCAATAGTCAATAAATAAGCAGAGCTATCCCAATTCCTTTTTTTTTTTTTTTTTTTCAACGTTTATTTATTTTGGGACAGAGAGAGACAGAGCATGAACGGGGGAGGGGCAGAGAGAGAGGGAGACACAGAATCAGAAACAGGCTCCAGGCTCTGAGCCATCAGCCCAGAGCCTGACGCGGGGCTGGAACTCACGGACCGCGAGATCGTGACCTGGCTGAAGTCGGACGCTTAACCGATTGCGCCACCCAGGCGCCCCCCCCAATTCCTTTTTAATGTCAGTACAAAGATTCAACAAGCAACTTCTCCCAGTCAAGTTTTCAAAACAAAAAAGAAGTTAGGATAAATTTTAAAAAGTATGTAAATATAATTACATTTTATGCAATACTTATTTTGTTCTGCTTGTTTCTATTAAGATCTCATTTCCTTCTCTTCTCATAAAATATAATTGAAGAGGAACATTAAAATCAAGCTGGTAAATTTGCACGGGGTGCATTAATTTTACCAGTAGTAAAATTATTTTAATTAAGAGATTTTTCTACCAACTAAATGAAGTGTCTTACACGCCCAATCAATTCTTGCCAATATGATTGCTCTACAAAGAAGGGATGATAATTAATTAGAAGAAGCCCCTTCAAGGACAATTGGTCTACAGTGCACAACTTGAGAAAGAGCTGACATGCACTGTTTCTTTTCAATGTCATCATCTATGTTCATTATGTGTGTTATTAGGTTTGAGAAAAGGAGATACTGACAGAGTGGATAATGAGTTGTGAAGTGAAATAAGATAATATGAATTATGGTTAAGAAAAGATGAAATCATAGCAAAAATGAAGAGAGAAGTTCTCTGAATACCTTTCTTTTTTAAAGCTTGTGATCATTGCAGCTTAGTTCACCAAATTTAAAACACATTTACAACATTTAATATGTGATAGTGAAGTATTTTTTTTCTAAGTCAATAACGAGTGCCGTGATGTGAATTGGTATGGCAAACCAATATGTACTTCAAATTCCCCCTTTTTTCTTTACAAGTAGTGGCTCTTATTTCTGGTATAAAATATTGTAATAATTAATAATCTGCTCATTTAAATGACTTTTATATTTTGTAATGATTGTTGGGAGAATGGCAAATACTGAATCTCCAAAGCAATCTTGATCAAAAGTACTTTTTCCTACCACACTGCTCCACTTTCAAGTCTTTTGTTAAATACCTGCTGTTATTTCTATTTACATTTAATAATTTCAGGCCTTAATTCAAGATTTAAAAAAGAAATCTGAGTGTTAAAAACCAAATGTATTTTAGTGCTTTTCACTTATATCACTTATAAAAAAATTGTACAGTAACAGGATTATGTTAATTAATTATTAAATAAAAATAAGTGGCTTTCATATATAGGTAAGAACTATTAAAAGATTTAATTGGAAAAACAATTTCCTGTAAACAGCAGTGAAAATATGAAAATACCCAGGACTAAAATTAACAAAAATGTTATGTAAGTTCTACATTAAGAAAACTTTGTATATTGCCACAGTATAGTTACAAAGACACAAAATCTGAAAGAAATTCTAAAAATATACCATGCTGTTGGAAAGGAGACCTAATGTATTAAAGATTTCAGCTCTTCATATTATTCACATATTTATTAAGATTTCAATAAAATAACAACAATGTTCTAGTGTTTGTTTTATTTATTAAAGTCTGCCTGGAAAACTAACTAAATAATGCCATGCATACTGTGTAAGAGTACGTTATGTTGGTTGTGGGGTAGAGATTTAGTTCTGCCAAATAGTCAAGTGTATTATACAGCTTCATTAATGAAGAACATTGTACAATTGCACTGATAGCCAAAAATATGCAAAATACAATGTTCAAATATAAATTCAACTCATGAAGAAAAATTAACATCTAATAAAATTTCCATCTCAATCATTAGGGTAAATAAGAATTACTGAATAATTGGGGTTGAACAACTTGATAATCATCTGGAAAAAAAAGTCTGATTTATATCTTACTAAGCATACCCTGAGTTAAATTCATACCAATAAAGTTTTAAATATAAAGATTTAAATGATAAAAATATCAGAAAAATGTTGGAGAATTACTTTTTAAATTTGGATGGGGAAGACCTTTTATAGCTACCAATCAAAATTTAGTTGCCAGAAAGAAAAACTGGTCACTTGATTACAATACAAGCAAAAATGTCTGTTTGTGAAAGACATCGTAGAAGCAGTCAAATAAACAAAAACTGTTCAGAGGCATAGAAAGTATTCCTAAATGTATGAGAGAGTGTTCAGCGTTACTCATAAAGAGAACAAAGCAAATTTTAAAAACACAATAGGTAGATACTTTTTCAATTATAAATAAATCTGGCAAAAAATTTGAGTGATTTTATGCATTGCTTGTGAAATGTAAAATCACTATTAAAGCTGAGCAAGGTAATTTTGCAATATCCATCAATATTACAGATGTTTATACTTTTTGACTTAGTTTTCCCATCACACACGCTTCCCATCCACATACTAAGTAATATATGTGCAAGATTATAATTGGAACCAACAGCCATCTGAGGAAAAGAATGACACAGATACAGAAATGATTATATAATACTCCTAGTACTTATATGACAATCTATGAGATATATGACACAGGGAAAAGAAAGGAAGGCATCCAGTAGTGTGAAATTGTGTATACACTAAGCCACCTTTTGATTTTTTAAATACCTTTTAAATATTTTGAAAGAAAGGGAGAAAGAGAGAGAGCACACACAAAGGAATGGGGGATGGGCAGAGAGGGACAGAGAAAGAATCCCAAATAGGCTCTTCACTGACAGCCCCACACAGGACTTAAACTCATGATCCATGAGATCATGACCTGAATTGAAACCAAGTCAGATGCTTAACTGACTGAGCCCCTGATTTTTTATATCCATCTTGTAATTATCTCCCTGGAGGCTTTTTTCTATGTTCTTTGTCCCAGTGTTCTGAAATTTCACTATGTTGGGACTTATGTTGCGAATTATAAATTTTTATAAGTGAGATATAATTGCCATTTAACACTATATTAGTTTAAGATATAGAACATAATGATTCTATATTTGTATATATTGCAAAAACAGTCACCACAGGAAGTCTAGTTAATATCCATTGTAATACACAGTTACTTTTTTTTTTCTTGTGATGAGAATTTACAAGATTTACTCTCTTAGCAACTTTCAAATATACAATACAGTATTGTTAGCTATAGTCACCATGCAGTACATTAATTGCATCTCCAGGACTTATTTATTTTTTAAGTGGCGGTTTGCACCTTTTGATCACCATCACCTGTTTCACCCATCCGCTGCTCCCCTCTTCTGACAACCACCAATCTCTTCTCTGCATCTATGAGTATGTTTGTTTGTTTGTTTCCCCTTTTAGATTCCACATATAAGTGAAATTATACTGTATTTATCTTTCTCTGTCTGACTTATTTCACTTAGCACAATACCCTTAATTTCCATCTATGTTATTGCAAACGGAACAATTTTCTTCTTTTTTATGTCTGTGTTTGTGCATGCACACACATGTTTATCCATTCATCCACTGATGGGCACTTAGATTGCTTCCATGCCTTGGCTATTGTAAATAATTCTTCATGAACATGGGGATGCATATATCTTTTTAAGTTAGTATTTTTGTTAACTTTAGATAAATATTCAAAGGTGGATTTACTGGATCATATACCTCCTGTACCAATTTACATTCCCATGATTGTATTCTTGTTCATGTGTAAGCACTTGATAAACCCTTTATTTGGAAGCATGTGTCTTTCAGTTTTTAGGTAGTCGCTATATTATTGCATTAATAATTCTTTTCTGTTTCCTATTTTTGTAACTCTAAGTCCAAAAAGTTGATATTGCATCCCCAGAATTGGTCTCATTTTCTCATAATTTCTTATCTTTTCCATTTCTTTTTGTTTTGTCCTATTTTCTAATCTACTCTCTCAATTAAATATATGAGAACTAGTGTTTATTTCTTATTACATTGTACTTTTCTAGACATTTTTACTATTGTCTAAAGTTGTAAATTACCATAACATTCCACCTTTTGTATAGACAATATAACTTTTTTATATAACTCTAAGAATATTATAGTTTTGATTGGTTTTAAATTTTTCTCCTCCATTCAGTGTCTCAGTTTCTGTAAGTATTTTTAATTATGGTTTGTTCTTTCTTATTTGGAATCTTTCTGCCAAATGTTGGATGATCATACTTAATGGCGATGACCTAACAAGACTTATTGGAAGCTTACCATGTGAACATGGTTTTTGATAAGTGGCAGCTCTATAAGAGGGTTGTAAGTTGACTGCTGGCGATTCAATGGGGTAATCCTAATGAGCTTGATATCCTTGATGCAGGAGCCTCTAAGATCCTCTTTCCCCTGAGAATAAACCTTGACAAATATTTGTTTGTGGGCCAGCAGGGAGGTGAGTGATGGGTCAGAATAATTATCTGCATTTGTGATTTGAGAGAAAAGCTGTGTCAACGAATCACCCTGTTGCCAGACTACTATTTTCTCAGACACTTTTAAGTCCTAAAAATCTTAAGATTTCTGCTAAGTAGACAAGTTTGATTTTTTTATAAGTATGCCCTGTAATTAGACTTTTGATTATTGCCATTCTGCTAATTTACTCACTATATTCCCACCATCTTTTCAACTTCTTGAAATTTATTGAAAACTTGCTCAAAAAACAATATTTTCTCACTGTTGTCTCCCTTCTCGTTCCCTGTGAATTAACACTTTTATTTTCCATTACCTCCTTTTTGAGGCTTTAAGAGGAAGAGGGGATGATATTTCAGTCAAATCCAAATGTTTAATCAGGTACATCATTATAGAAAATTCTGTGTCTATAAATTGGACAACTTAAATGAAATAGATAAATTCATAGAAAAACACTAGTTGACAAACTGATTCAATAATACATATAAAATCCGAATGTTTGTACAATCTCTAAAATAATTGAATAGTTTTAAAATATCTTTCCAAAAAGAAAAACACTGAAAATAGATTGTCTTTATCAAAGGTCTCCCAAATATTCAATAAAGAGTTACATCTAATACTATGTAAACTCCTTCATAAAATAGAAAGGAAAATTTATCAATTGATTATATAGGCTAGCATAGCCAAGTTTGAGTCATTTTATCTCAGCACATTGAAGATATGATTTTTATTGACATCATGAAAGTTACTAATATTTTCTTCTTGTGTGGCTGTTCTGCTGATAATCTCACGCATTGATTAGTTTATGACTAATTTAGTAATAATTTTTATAATGTCAAAAGTTATTAGCAGTTAAATTACTTTGGTAAGGTTGAAAATGTTTGGAACGTTCTGCAAGGCTTCCTAGCTTCTTCTTTTCCAGAGTTATACATAAGATGTCTAAATAAGTTTGCACATGGCAGGAAGATTTCAGCTTGTGAACCATCTCTACTTTATAATTCAGTTGTAAGTTGCATAGCCTACATAATATTTTCTGGGAAGTCATGCCTCACAAACAATAGATTTTAGGTTTGTTAACCATAAGCAATTCTAAAATTGGACTACTTACTAGGATTCTGTGGCAAATATTATCTACCTAATAAATTTTATTGGTCCCTTTACTAGGAGGTTTAGTTATGTTTAAAAGAAACTATATCCAGTCCCCTATGCTGTTTCAGTACCTGGGAATATTACACCATTAATAAAAAATAATAGGTTCTCAGCTTAGCATAATTAGTTCCTTTCTCTCCACAATTCTGGGATATCTTATTTGTTTGTTTAGATTTTGTTTCCAAATCTCTCATTCCCTTATTCTCTGTTTACCAATTATATTAATCTTTTTCTATAGATACTTCAACACATTTATCATAAATATTTTATAATCTTGATATAATTCTAAGTCTGGGTCATCTGTTTTTACTGTTTCCACTTGAATATAGGTCATGTTGTTTTGCTTTCTTGCAATGTCATTTTTTATTGTATCACAGATAGTATGTCTAACAGAGTTCAAAGTAGCTAAATTATATATGTATATGTATTCATGTGTTTATCTATATCTCTAGTGACACTCTCACATAAGCACACTCCCTTCTTTTCAATGAGAGGGCTGTGATGAGATGCTAATGATGTTTCTATTATAAATATTTTAAGGATGTTTTCCAAATATATTTTCAAATGATTCCTTATGCAGCAATGCATATAAAGAATAAAAGTACTTTTTATGCAAAATGTATTGTATTTGTATGTATTAAGTCATCTTTATAACAATTAATTAAAAATTTATTTGACATTTAGAGTTCAGCCTTATTCTACTTTAGGTCTTTTTCAAATTTAGTATTCTATTCATATAGAAACTTATTTTGTAGTAGATGTTCTCAAATTGATCTTACCAAGTAATATGACAACTGTCTTTTTTAAATTTTTATTTATTAATTTTTGAGACACAGAGAGAGACAGAGTGCAAGCAGGGGAAGGGCAGAGAGAGAGGGAGACACAGAATGTGAAGCAGGCTTCAGGCTCTGAGAGCCTGATGCAGGGCTCAAACTCACAAACCACGAGGTCATGACCTGAGCTGAAGTTGGATGCTTAACCAACTGAGCCACCTAGGCGCCCTTGACAACTGTCTTTACTAATTTAATGTAAATTTAATTTTGTGAAAGATTATTTAATTTTTCATCCCTTTGAAAGGATCTGAAGATGAAAAATGTGAAGTGGCTGTTGATGTCTACTTCTTTCTCTCTGCGAACTGGACTGAAGATGCTGTCTATGTGAACACATCTGAAGATCTCTATTATGTATTTTGGTTTCTATGTCAAGGAAGAATGGAGGTAATATAATTCCTTATTTGTCTCTTTAACTCATAATATTCTGATTTGAAAAAAAAGCTAAAATTGTTAAATTTGCAAATTCAGTGTTCAAGATGTGTGTAGCTTAAACATAACCTCATATTGATTGAGATTTTTGATTGACGGTGGTTATATGACATTTTGGCTTCTGCACACATGCCGCCCATGGTGCCTTTTGTTATAATTGTATATATTTATGAATTGTATATTTGTGAGTTTCTAATGAGAAGTTTCTATGACTGTAAGGTCAAGTTGCATCTTTTGTGCACATGCTCAGCTCTTGGAAGTCCTCTGTGGCTTTTGAGCCTGTTCTGTGGCTAGGCCTTTCCTGTTCTGTTAGCCCTTAGAGGAGGTTCTGAAGCTATGGCTCTTAACTCTCAGGGGGTAGCTGCTAGGCTATGGTCAGTGTCTGTTTTATCCTTCCTTGCTCATGCCTAACTGTCTAGCACTTTTTGTATTTATAATATAGACAGGTAATAAAGAGATTTGTCATTTTATATCTAGTCTTTTTGTGTTCCATTTATGCTACAATTTGCTGACTAAGTCTCTCAAACAGTTGTGATTATATCACCTTTTTGTTTAAAGATCATAATTAAATCTCCAGGATATTTCCAGGGGGCACCTGGGTGGCTCAGTTGAGCATCCAACTTCCGCTCAGGTCATTATCTCGTGGTTCATGAGTTCAAGCCCTGCATTGGGCTCTGTGCTGACAGCTCAGAGCCTGGAGCCTTCTTTGGATTCTGTCTCCCTCTCTCTCTTCCCCTCCCCCACTCATGCTCTCTCTCTCTCTCTCTCTCTCTCTCTCTCAAAAATAAATAAAAACATTTATATCTCTGGAAATTTCCAATCTCTGGGTAACTTTACCACTTAAATTAGGGGCCTAAGGCAAGAATTCAAAGAATGGCTCTCTTTTTCCCCACTTCACCTACATCTTATACAAATTAGATAATATTATCAAAAAAATAACAATAAGAAACACAAAATTTGGTATCTTAATTTTATTTTTTAAAATTTATTTTGAAAGAGAGAATCCCAAGCAAGCTCCACACTGGAGGCATGGAACCCCATGAGGGGCTTGAACTCACAAACCATGAGATCATGACCTGAGCTGAAATCAAGTGTTCAAACTTTAACCAACTGAGCAACCCAGGTACCCTGAATCCTAATTATAAAGAAATAAAAATCCTTTTTGTCAAAAAGATTGGGGAGTTTTCCAAAAAGTTTAGAGAATTAACAGAGTATTTGTAACCCCTCTTGTCTGGACACAACCTAATCTGGTTATTTTATAGAAACAAAAACCATATTATAATTTTATGTTTGATATATTTTGTATAAAATTTTGAGTAAAGATTCATAAACTTTTCATTATAAATAAATCCATTAATACTGAGGTAATATTATAAGAAATAATACAAGTCAGTTTACTTCAAAAAAGAACCATCTAGAAAGGCATTACAAATACAAGCAAACAGATGTCAATTTCTCAGAACTTTTAATTTCACTTATGCTCTCATAAACATATATTTTGTATATATATATGTATGTATATATATGGATATATATATATTCATAAACATATGTATTAAGCTTCATATAGTTTTACATGTATGTATTTAGCCATTCACAGATACATGACTATGCACATAAATGATTAAAGTTTTTTATCTTTAAGATATATTTAACTTTATCAGCACATAAAAGAACATTATGTATTAAATTTACCTTCTTTTAGGAAACAAGCAAGCAAATCATAGATATCTTGTATACACATTTCTATTTCTCTGTATTCTTTTGAAATAATTACAAACTTGGGGTGCCTGGGTAGCTCAGTTGGTTAAATGTCTGGCTTTGGCTCAGGCCATGATCTCAAGGTTTGTGAGTTCGAGCCCCACATCATGGTCTCTGCTTTCACCACAGAGCCAGCCTCAGATCCTCTGTCCATTCTCTCTCTGCCCTTCCCCTGCTTGCATGCTGTCTCTGTGTCTCTCAAAATAAATGAATAAACTTGAAAAACTAAAATAATCACCAACTTTAAATAAAATAACTACTTTGTTTTTTTTAGACTCAAGAGAAAACACAAATATACCAATCCGATAACTTTTAGCTGGTTTATTTTTTCATGATCACACATTTTATATAATTTTGACAACTTTTATGTTAGGCAAAATAAACATAAATATACATGTATAAACATAAATATACATCATTTAACAACATTTGTATGTCTCAGTTTTTCATTCTGTAAGGAAAAAGGATAACTTAAAATTATATTTAGAGATTCTTTGGGGCATCTGGGTGACTCGGTTGGTTAGGTGTCCAACTCTTGGTTTCATCTCAGGTTATGATCTCATGGTTTGTAGATTGTTGAGCCCCTCATTGGACTCTGCACTGATTGTGAGGAGCCTGCTTGGAGTTCTCTCTTTCTGTCTCTCTCTGCCCTTACACTGCTCATGCTCTCTCTCATTCTCTCTCCCTGTCAAAATAAATAAATAAACTTTAAAACATAAAATAAAATTATATTTATAGATTAATATTTGTATATTTTTCTTATTCTAAAATTGCTCAACTATCCAATGATTATTTGTTATTTCAATTTAATATCAGTGTAAGGTCTTGATGTAAACCAAAGATTTGGAAATTGCAATTTGCACCATCATGTTAAGTCCTTTTGGTTTGTAGTGTCATCAGAAAAAACATTGTAGTACATAAATGTAGTAGAACCAGGGGCGCCTGGGTGGCTCCGCTGGTTGAGCATCCAACTCTGGATTTCAGCTCAGGTCATGATCTCAGGGTTGTGGGATGGAGCCCCACATTGGGCTCTGACCTGAGCATGGAGCCTGCTTGAGATTCAGTCTCTCCCTCTGCCACTCTCCTGCACTCATGCATGCTCGCTTGCTCTCTCTCTCAATAAAAAAAAAAAAAAAAAAAAAAAAAAAAAAAAACTAAATAAAAACAAATAACCATAGTAGAATCAATAAGAATTCACAAGACTAAGTGCTTTTAAATGATACCCACTATTAAAAATTCAATTATTTCTATTTGATATTTTTATAATAATAAACAATCTAAAAAAATAATGATAGACCAGTTCTTGAAAAGTTATATTAAATCATTCTAATTTGCCTAAAGATTAATTTATTTATTGGGAAATCAAATAAGCTCTTTTTAATATAAGTAAACCTCGGTGTTCATATATTTAAAAAAATCAAGACTTTTGAATTTATGCCCAAACTCTAAGGGTGTAATTTTCTTTTCATCTAAAAGACTAATTATATTACACACCAGGTACACATTTTCTGCTTTGTTAAATTTTTGGCAAAGGAAAAACATATAAATGAGGTACAGTTAATCATTTTCCTTTTCCTTTTTTGACTGTTTATCTGAACAATAGTCTTAGAATGTACAAATAATGATAGAAAATGTATTTATGATTAATATTAGTTTTAAAAATTTCCCAAGCAAAAAAGAAAGGAAGAAAGAGCAAAAATGAAGAGATGAAGGGTGCTAGCTTCAGGCAAATATAAAATCATGACTTAATGTTAAAGGTTAATTATCTTTCTCTTCAAAGACCAGTAGAGACTTAAATGGAGAAAAAACTCATTCACACACACACACACACACACACACACACACACACGTTATTATTCCAGATAGTTTAAACAATAACTCATATCCTTAATAATTCCATAGGGGTATATAATTAAAAATCTAGTGCTTATTAATCCCAGAAGTATGAAAATGCAAGAGGGGTTCTTGTGCATTAAACAGAGTAATCTCTCTATTAGACACACAGGACGGAGAGTCTCCTCATGAGAGTTTTTCTCTTTTTGTTCTAATGTTTCTGTCAAATGAACAATCTTGTTCATGTCAAAATTTCCCCAGAGTGGCCACTGCAATTTCAGATTGTCCTTTGAGAAATTATAGCAATTACAGAGATGTGTACCTGACTTACAATATAAAGGGAGAGATGTGTGGTGTTGAAGCCTGTGAGACTGAGAAGACCCCATGAAAACTTAACATAGGTACATAGGTGCCTGTTCAATGTCATGTCTCTAAAACCTACCAAAGAGCAGTCAGTCTAAACTGATAGCCACACAAAAGTTTTTACAAGATTTTGGAAAGGTGACTCAAGGAATAATTTGTTCAAGGAATGCAGATAGCAGTGATTTCTGAACTCATTGTTTATTTAAGTCATCTGGATGATGAAATTGTGGGAGCAATACTTGTCCTCTTACAGTAGACATACTCTTACACTTAGCAGAGGAAGTGATGTTGAAAGAAATTTCCTTTCTCTCTGGATCAAATTGGATCACATAATCAAAGGATTCCTAAAGTGTTTTCTTATTCTTAAGAGGAAAAAATAAATAAATAGCATTTGGGAATGTGATGAAAATAAATTGGAGTTCAGACCTAATACTATACATATGTCACTGTCATAGTTGGAGAGACAAGTGTCCAGTGGTCCCAGAATAGTGCACCACTTGCAGTCTAGGGTTGTGAACTTTGTTATTGAGGGTATTTTAATTAGATCTTTGCAGAATTTTGTGTTTGTTCACTGCTGATCCTCCACAAGACCACTAGACAGTTCTGTTGATCAAGAGAAACTAATTCTCTTAGATTTAACATAGTAATGGAAAACAACACCTAATAGAGTCAGTCTTACTAGTGTCTCAGAAGGGAGAATTTATGGAAGGATGTTAATATGCTCTAGAGCCTTACTTGTAGGGAATGGGTACTTTTAAGGTTCGGTTAGAGTTCATGAATAAAGCCTTGTACTGGTGGACATAATGGGATGAGAGTCTTAAAATGAGGTTGATGAACAAACTGTTATGCTTGGTAAATACTTATGTTAGTTGGTTCACAGTCATACTTTCAAGAAAAAGTATTTCATGGAGCAAAGAGTAAATTTATACACACACACACACACACACACACACACACACACACTCATATGGTTTTTTTCTCAGTATTTTTAAATATAG